GCCCAGGACCTGTCCTGCCCAGAGGCTGGGTAAACTGAGGCCGGGTGGTCTCTGCTGAGGAGCCATCGGCGCTTCGGAGAGAAGGAGCCAGTGTCTGTCAGCTCACCCTCCCCCACCCACAGGGGCCAGGCCCAGGACAGAGGCCCAGGAGGGGAAGGCAGAGTCGGCAGCCCACATACCAGGAAATCTTTACCGCCCTCGGGCCTGTAGAACCACTCCACCACCGTGGTGGCCTCCACCTCCTCCCTCCTCATGCAGGAGATGCAGCGCAGCTTCATGGCGTTGCCCTGGACGGCCTCTGTCTCCGAGGGCACCTCCACGCACACGGGGGAGCAGACGCCTGAGAGGCGGGGCGGCCGGGGAGAGGCATGGGAGAGCCAGGAGGGAGGGAGAAGACAGAGAAGGAAGGATGGTGAGATAAGTTGGGAAATACCGTGTTCGCGCATGTATACTGCACCTGTGCTCCGGGGCATGCCTGCTGCACAGGCACGGAGGGGCATCGAGGAGGCTGGCGACCCAGAAGCGACTGAGCGGCTCCCGAGGCAGTGGAATGAGGCAGCACATCCCCGAGCCCTGCCCTCACAGACGTCTGATCCAGGGGGAGGCAGGGCGGGCACACACCCAGCACCCCTTCATGCAGCCGGCATCGCCGAAGCCGCGCTACGCCAGGCCCACGCTAGCTGAGATACAAAGGCGAACGAACACTAACCGTGCCCTAAAGACGCATGCCGGCAGGGAGCACACCCCCCTAGCATCGCATCCTTAACCCGGGCCCAGTGAGCGGCAGCCCAGTGACTGCTGTTTCCACAGGAGGGCACGCATCCTGGCGGGCTGGGAGAGGCGAAGGGTAGGGAGCAGTGGGGTATAGACAGAACCCACCTTGCGAAGACCCTGTCCTTCACACTATGAAGGTCAGAGGTTTCAAAGCCGTGAGAGGTGTAGTTATATCTGTGTTTTAAGAAAAGTGCAGGTAATGCATGTGCATGGCGGCGGCTGGAGCAGCAAGGAGGGAAGTGTGAGTGGCTGCCTGGGAGGCTGAGCAGTGCTGACGCGGAGGAGAGAGACAAGAGGTCAGGTTGTGGGATACTTACAGTTCCCGCCTCTGAACACTCATGGCCATTACAAAAGGCAAGGGTATCTGACTGCAAATTAGAAGGAGTCAAAAGTGGAGGTGGCTGCCAACAGGGCATGCATGGGCGGCATTAACAGACACATAATGCGCAGAACGGGGGGGGGCGGGGGGGAACAGCCCCTCCACCTGCTCAGAACAGATCCAGACCGTGGTCACCGGTTCAGGGGTCAGATTCTACAAAAACAGGATGTTCCCTGAGTGCATGTCCGGAGGGAGCAAGGTGGGAGAATTCTGAGAGGAACAGAGGCTTATCTTGGACACAGAACCTATCTGTCCTCCAGTATTTGAAGGCTGGTCTGCGAAAGGTGAAACAGATTCTGTCCAAAAGTTACAAGAAATTAAGTTTAGCTCAATTTTTTTAAAAAAATAATTTTCTGGCGCAGCAGCTGTTCACAAATGCAGAACAGTACTGGCAAGAGAGCTTGCACGTCACTCAGAGAAGGTTCAAAGTCAGTGACCACGAGGGTTCGTGTGTCAGGAATCCTTCTGATGCTACTTTTTAAAATATACATATTTATACTAGAGGATTCGTGCACCGGTGGGGTCCCTCGGCCCAGCCTGTCGGGCTGAAACTGCTCTCCAACATCCCCCAAGGGGTCCCGGATTGCGAGAGGGCGGTTCTTGGCGCAACACCCCAGAATCGGGCTCCCTCCTCTCTAGTTCTGGGTGCATCACCGGAGAACAGCAGCTGCCAAGTCACCACAGCTTGGCAGCTCCTGTGCTGAGCATCTGCCCCCTATTGGTCACTGCACGTCATAGCTACCGGTCGGATGGTCGCTTAGGCTTTTCTCCATATAGATTGATTTTAAAGAGGAAGGGAGAGGGAGAGATAGAAACATCAATGATGAGAATCATTGGTCAGCTGCCTCCTGCACACCCAGTACGAGGGATCGAGCCCCCCACCTGGGCATGTGCCCTTGACCAGAATCGAACCCAGACCCTTCTGTCTGTTGGCTAACGCTCTATCCACTGATAGAGCCAAACCAGCCAGGGCTGATGCTACCTTTTAATGAGTTAATAGTGAAAACAGAACCCCTAGAAATATAAGACACTACACGTCGATATTTGAAAACTAGTCCTCTGAATGGTCAGTCCGTTCATGTCTGGCAGACAGTCACTTCTAAAAGCGGAGGAGAGCTTTCTTTAGAGCTTAAAGTGACACTGGCCAATTAATTTTGAATAAAAAATGAAATTTTATATTTGACTGACTTAGGAGGCAACACCTTTCATTTTAAACGCAGTCTAAATACGAATGGCACTAAGTGAAGTTTAAAATATTAAGGGGCGCCCTAACCGGTTTGGCTCAGTGGATAGAGCATCGGCCTGCAGACTGAAGGGTCCCAGGTTCGATTCCGGTCAAGGGCATGTACCTTGGTTGCGGGCACATCCCCAGTAGGGGGTATGCAGGAGGCAGCTGATTGATGTTTCTCTCTCATTGATGTTTCTAACTCTCTATGCCTCTTCCTTGCTCTCAGTAAAAAATCAATGAAATATACTTTAAAAAAATAAAAATAAATAAAAAATAAAATATCAAGGGGCAATACATGTAATTGGTTTTAAAACTCAAGCAAGCTGGGCTGGTCTTGTGCGTGCGGGTCACACTTCAGTGGGGGCACAGTTGGGAGACCTGGTCTGCGATGGGTTTGAAGTCTTGATTACGGGCCTGGTTAGAAAAAGGAAGGAAGGAAGAGGTGTGGGCTCCACAGGAGCCTGGGAGTGGCTGAGATGGGGAGCGTGCACTCGTGTTTAATGAGATGCGGTAAGGATAAGCTAGTGCAGTTCGGATGGCTTCCAAAGCAGGACGGAAAATGTACCAAGGACTGTACAGCCACCACTAGAGAGGCAGGATGAAGATGGTGTTCGGCAACGGATGGCATTTGATTTACCATTTAACCTCCCTGCGACCCATTTATGCGCCTATAAAAGTGCTGAAATTAATATCTATCTAATATATTTTCCATGAAAGTTCTCTGGAATAACTGACACAAGTGTGCTCTGTACAAACGTCGCTGGCCAACATCCTTTTGTGCTTCACTATTCTGCCTGCTGTGTGCCCGGCATTGAGGGTCCAACAGGGAACCTCACAGGAGCCCTCTCTGCCCTCGTGGCGCCAGCGTTAGGGCAGAGAGAGAGAGAAAATAAGCAACTTTAAATCGCAGTAAGTGCTGCGGGACAGAATGAAAGAGAACAGAGGAGACAGGGAGTGCGTGTGCTCCTTGGAAACAGCCCCCCGCCCAGAAGGGGGCACTGGAGGAGAGAGATGAGGGCGCGAGCTGTGTGACCACCTGTGTGAAGGCACCAAATAGAGGGAAGAGCAACTCAGCACCGGGGTGGGAGTGTGTTTGTTGGAAGCAAAGAGCACAGTGAAGTCCAGGGAGAAAGTGAAGCCAGGAGACGGAGGAGCGGGAAGCCAGGGCGGCTGGTCGTCTGGCCGTGATCGGAACTCAGAGTGACCTGGGCTCTGCATGGAGGAATGACATGGTCTGACTTATATGAAATTGCACGCTGTGACTGCGATGTTGAGAATAAACTGGAGAGGTGAGGAGCAAAAGTAACAGGTGAGCAGCTGGTGGCGCGGTCAGGGTGAGGTGTTCGTCGGGCTTGCCGGATGCGGTGGCATGGAGCTGGGGTGTGGAAAGGAATGACTGCCGGATGACTGTCCGGAATAGGGGAGAGGTGACGTGCTCTAACGAAAAAGTAGATCAGATGGTCTTAGATAGGAGCACAGTTCATTCGTTCATAGTTAGAGGAGGGAGGGCAGAATATATGCCATCGGGCTGGTGAATACGGGGTGCAGCCGCTTTTTCCTAAGTTGCCCTGAGATGACAATACTGCCAGGTATCTTCAGAGAGCAGGCCCCATGACCCCCCTCCCTAGTCAAAGTCCAGCTGCCAGGCCGGGAAACGGGCCAAAGTCCTGGACAGTGTCCTGCAAGTGGCCTCCGAGTCCTCTCCCGTCCGCCTGCCCTTCGACTGGGACCGGCTGTCCTCCCTCAGAGGTGAAGTCTGTTTCCCAGCCCGTGGGTCGCCAGAGCACCGCTGCTCTGAAATCCTCTCGCTATCCAGGAACAGGCTGCAGTGGTACCACGTAGGAATGGCAGGTGCACGGCCATATCGCTGACTGTCAGTAATAACTCCTGGGATGCTCTGCATAAATCACTTCACCTATGGCCTCCTTTTCCATTTCCATAGTAATAACATATGAGAAGGAAGAATCTGACATATGAATGATGATCATATTTAACTAAGGAATAGCATCAATTTATTATGAGGTGGGTAGTAATGTATATTGAACAAACTCCTCTAATACTCCCAAATCTTTCTCTTCTTTGGGCATTACTATATTGCTCCTCTGGAGCTTGTTCTAGGCTGCTTTCCTTTGCGATCTATAATCATAAAAGCATAATATGCTAATTAGGCCAGACGACCTGCCGGACAAAGCCGGGGCTGTGAGGGAAGCCCGGGTCCCAGGTGCCTGTTGGTGGCCGGAGGGCCAGTGGCCAGAGGAAAGCCCAGGTCCTGGGTGCCAGAGGGAAGCCAGTGCTGGCAGCCAGGGGAAGGAAGGCCTACTCTTGCATGAATTTCGTGCACCGGGCCTCTAGTAAGATAACAAATGCTTTGGTTGGAATGGAAGTACTTCCCCACAAGAGTAATAAGCGGAGTTGCTTGCAGATATTAGTGCCCTGTAATGACTTGGTCTATCAGATTAGCCAGTCACTTAGCAGAGCCTTAAAGGAGAGGATGCAAGGAGGGCTACTGGGAGGAGAGGAAAACACTCCCCAACAGTGGACACTGGACAGTAGACCTGCAGACGAAGAGCACAGAAGGCACCAGAAGTTGAGGATGAGTGAAGCTCTAGCAAAGGCAGTGGCGCCCTGGCCAGGTAGCTCAGTTAGTTGGAGCATCGTCCCAATGTGCCAAGGGTGTGGGTTCGATCCCCAGTCAGGGCACTTACAAGAATCAACCAATGAATGCATAAATAAGTGGAACAACAAGTCAATGTTTCTCTCCCCCCCCCTTCCTTTCTCTCTCTAAAAATCATTTTTTTAAAAAGACAATGCAGTGACATGGGGAGGGAAGAAAAGGGTGGCTCAGAGAATGGACGCAAGGCTAGATGTCCACCTGGCATCCTGCAGGGCAGCCATGTGCTCACAGAAATGCCAGCACAACCCCTGGAAGCCTCAAATCTGGAGACCAGACTCTCCAGCAAGTCTTTCCCCTTCCTGAGCTCCTTTCCTCGTCTCTAAATTAGAAGTGCTACTGCTACCTGACTACCCCTTAGGGTTGACATGGGGCCAAAAGACGTAATGGACTAAAACGTAATGGTAGCCCGGCTGCATGGCTCAGTGGTTGAGCATCGACCTATGAACCAGGAGGTCACGGTTCGATTCCTGGTCAGGGCACATGCTGGAGTTTCAGGCTCGATCCCCAGTGTGGGACGTGCAGGAAGCAGCCAATCAATGATTCTCTCTCATCATTGATGTTTCTATCTCTCTTTCTCTCTCTCTCTCCCTTCATCTCTGGAATCAATAAAAAGATATTTTTTTTAAAAAGTAATGGTGTTTTG